ACAGGGAGAGCAATCAACCCATGGAACAGAAGTTGCCTTCGGAAGTTGTGGGAGCTTCATCACTTGAGACTTTCAAGAAGAGTCTGGACTGTCATTTGTCAGAAATGGTGTAGGGTCTCCTGTTTGAGCGGGGGGTTGGACTAGATGACCTTCCAACTCTGTTAATCTGTTTAATCTGTATATTTTGCAATATTGGGACTGGTGGAGGGAGGGGCTGATGTCTTAGAGCTCCAAGATTGCTGCTGGACGGTCCTTTTGAACCTAAACCATCCCGTAGAGATGGTGATAGAGAAGGGGACGTACTGCTGATCTCAGGGACATCGCAAAGTCCCTGATTGATCCAGGAGAAGCTCTTTTTTCCGGCAACAGGAGAAGCAACCATTAAGCTGCAGAAGGTTGGGACAGCCCCTGAACAGAAGAAAAGCAGGAGATTTTCATTTGGACTTGATTTAAATCAAATCCACCTGTCGCTTTGAAAGGTAGAGATTTGTGAGGAGATGCCCAAAGAGGAGGGGAGGTGACAGATTCCTCCTGTGGCAACCTAGAGGTTTTCTGGGTCTAGCAGAGGAGGGATTTGGGGTAATTTAAGAGGAAAAATGCATTTCTCAACAGGAATTTTATTGGCAATTTGATGTTGTGCTAACGAATGTCAGCATTTCTCAATCGCAGCACCTTTAAAAATGTGTGGACTTCAATTCCCAGAATTCCCTTTCCAAGAGGTGAGGTCTTCAACTCCCAGAATTCTACATGCTGGCTGGGGAATTCTGGGAGTTGAAGTCCAGACATCTTAAAGGTGCTAAGATTGAGAAACACGAGCCTAGATTGAAGCCAGCCCCATTCCAGCAAATTAAATGAAGAATTTTGCCTCTGCGATCAATCATAATCTTAATCAAGCACAGCCATTTTGCGCCAACGTTGTCTGTTTTCAATGACATCCGGGATACAGCTGGGCTCGCTGAAAGAGCTCGACGTGTCTGTGCAGCCAAACGGCTGGTTGAATTTGAACTGTTCTTAGTTCCAGGTCTGTAAACGGTGCTAATTTTGGATCTGTTTCCCTTTTAGCTGAACCTTTACCGCTGATGGACCTGTGCCGGCGTTCGGTGCGCCTCGCTTTGGGCAAGAACCGGCTGGGTGAGATCTCGACGCTGCCTTTGCCCAAATCTCTCAAAAATTACCTTCTTTACCAATGACACCTCTTGAACATCGGAAGGACAGACCTCTTGCAGGAGCGAATTTCTGTTGGATTCATTGAGTCAAAATCATGGGGGCCTCGTCATCTGCTCCAACACCCCATCCCTGGGCCACATCGCGAGCAGAAAATCTCCTTTTCCAAGATCACATCCTACCGGGATTTGTTTCCAGAAAAGATTCCAGCCAAACGTTTCTGCATTCTCGTTTGAATTTCCCGCTCGTCCGTCAACCACGAAAGGGGGGCGGTCCTGTGGATTTTTGTGGAGCCGGGGATGGCTCGCCCATCTTGGAGATGGCGCAGGTGCAAGCATCGGACAACGGGCCCAACTTTTGGATGCGGGGAAAGGGATGAGGCCCGCACACAGAATCAGACTGGTGGCCTTGAGGGGGACACGAGCCACTGTTGGAGCTCTCCTTCCACATCGGGCCCTCGGCCGTTTTTTTCCCTGCCTTCACCACCGTGCCTTGGTGCCCCCATCAAATCGCCCGCCCTCACTGCTGCATGGCTCACCCTCCCGTCTCTTGCTGGAGAAAATACTTGAAATGAAAATTGGTGGGGCGGGGGATATAAAGATCATTTGGAGGGTGGAGGGCTGGGAGGGAGGGTTGCCCTAAGCATCCCCCTTCCCCCCCACCGGCTAAAAACCATTTTACTTCATTCGTCCTTGCCAGGGATGGAGGAATGGGCACATGGGGATTCCACCCACATAGCTGGCTGGGAATTTGGGGTGCCAGAAACCTCAGACTCCAATGGGGGAGGGTCTTTCAATTGTGGGGGAAGGTGGTTAAGCCCGCTAGCCAAGTCCCATCGTGGATTCCTTGTTCGCGAATGGACTAAAATGCCATTTATAGTCGGGCTCAAATTCAGTGGCTGACCCAGAATATAGTTTTGGGGTGTGAGCTCAATCGTAAACCCCCCTCCTACATTTCCTGGGCTGGTTGGGCATCACAGGATAGCCCCCACCCCCCCCCCGGTGTGATAATCTAGACTAGCAAATATCCTTGATCCATTGGGCATCGCAGGATAGCAATGGTGTGATAATCTAGACTAGCAAATATCCTTGATCCAACCAGCAGGGGAGAAAAAGCATTTATTTTCGATACTGCCTTCCAAGGGATTTGATTTGCACATATTTTATTAACCTTAAATGGAGGTGGGGAAAACATTTGTGTGTTGTTTCTTATGTCCCACCCACCCAATTTGGTCTACAGGTGTGTTCTTTTTGTTTGATGTGTGTTTGGTACAGGGAGCGTCTCTTATTTGGAGGGGGAAATGTTAATATATAGATACAGTGTGCGTGCGTGCGTGTGTGTGTATATGTATATACATTTTGCATTGTTTTGAATGTTAAAAACGCTGGATTGTTTTTTCGTTGTTGATGTTTTTAAGTCATGCTGCTGTAGAGAAGTTGTAGTTAGTTTGTTTTAAACAAAAGAAGACAAATAGACTAGGTGATTATTTTTGTGTTGTTGTTTTTTTTTTTTGTTTTGTTTTAAGCACACAACTTGGTGCCAAAGTTAGTTAGTTTGGGGAGGCAATCTTTGTGCTTGTCTCTCATTATTAATATTATTGTTGTTATTATTATTATTTTTTAAAAAGCGAAGAATAAAACCAAAAACTGTTTTCAAGCGGAACACTTTAAAAATAATTGCACATCAAGGGATTTTAATGTGTGCAAGGCCAAGCATTTTTAATTGTCCTTCGTCCCCGTTTTCCCCACTCACACCAAGAATTCAGGCACGTAGGTGATTTCTTTCTATCTTTCTTGTTTTCTTTGATTATCTTCCGTATTTCATTTCCCCTTCCTTCCTTTATTTGGTGCACGTCAGTGTGTCTGGCTTGTACAATTATTATTTTTTTTTAATTAAAAAAAAAACCCTCTCACTGGTTTATCCTCCCCCCTCCCTCCCTTTGGTGGATTGTAGATGATTAGGTCCCCGATGAAAGCAAAAGAACGAAAATAAAAATTTATTAATAGTACAAGTCTGTGGCTGTCAATCTCGCCAAACGGTTTGCGAATCTTGAAGTGACACATTTTCCATTCAAAATAAAATCTCTGGAGCTGGATTTTGCTGGAAGACAGGGAGGGACGGGACTGTTTCCAATGACTAAATGATGAAAATATGATTTGCGCATTCGGAGAAAAAAAGAGAGAGAGAAAGGAAAGAAAGAAGGAAGGAAAGAAGGAGGGTTGGAGGGAGAGAGAAAGAAAGAAAGAGAAGGAGGAAGGAAGGAAAGAGAGGGAAGGGAAAGAAAGAAAGAAAGAAAGAAAGAAAAAGAAAGAAAGAAAGAAAGAAA